CGCCCCTGCCCCTGGAGATTCTCTGTGCCACCATGGGGGGAGTTTGGGGGGGACATTACAAGTGGTGTACAACCCCACGATGAGGAAAGTATGCTGCTGCTCCAACCCGGGCATCTGGCCCTGTTCCTTCCGGGAGGGATTATGGACAAACCCTTAACCTGAAAACCGGCCTGTATTTCAAGTGTTTTTCCATGAGCTTTACAGAACCTGCTACCTTCAGTTAACTCTTCAATTGTCTGAAAGATTTGTCTAGCAAGTGGCACTTCCTCTTGCAACCTCTTGCATGCTGACTTAACCGGGAGGCTCCGGGCATCCCCCCCACGCCCACCCAATCCTGTGCCGAATCGTGGGGGGACAGCTGTCCCGACGCACTTCAGATCCGGCCCGCGGAGGTGCAGGGCTTGCCCTGCTCACACGGCTGGAGCGAGGCAGCGTGCCCTGAGACCTGGGCACTTTCCCCCACATGCTGCCTGCCCTGCCCTTCACCCCACTGTCCCCGATCAGCTCTTTAAATCTGAGGTCAAGTATAAGGACAAGTATGAAAAATAAGGCACTGGATTTTAGGGTTTTTTTAAGCAAAAGCAACCACTCTGTCTTACGCACCATCATTCTGAAGCCCGCAACCTGTGGAGGATGACAGTTGGGGACCAGCACTCTGGGTGAGTAGCAAGGACAGACCCCACTGAGCAAACCAGAGATCAGGACACAGTGCACAAAACGGGGGCCGAAGCGTCAAGCCCCGAAAATCCCCAGTTCCCTCAGCTCTGCAGAAACATGCAGAGAAGACTGATGGCCAATCTGTTATTTTACTTATTTTTCTTGCACAAGCAGAGCACACACCACTGTGACTCTGGTGGGGGCAAGAGACAAGGACCGACGTCGTGTTCTTCCATCTCTACATTTCCAGCACCCAGCACGGTGCCTGGAACATAATAAGTCCCTAATAAAAATGTTGGTTCAACTGAAATCAAAACAATTTAACCAACGACAAAACCCACAGAAACAACAAAACCCCAGGCTTCCCAAGGATATGTTGGTTTCCAATAAGGAAACAGTGTTTTCGTAAGTGTGTGGAACAGAGTGTGGGTTTGGGGAAGAGGAAGCGTGGGGCCTTGGAGTTTATGAGACCAGCAGGTGTTCTAGATTGGTTCTGCAGCAAAGTCCGATGACTTCCCCTCTGGGCCTCAGCCTTTTTGCATTCAGACAAAAGAGCTGAACAAAATGATTTCTCAGAACATGTTCAGCTCCCAGAGTGGGAACAAAATAGGTCCTGGTGAGGTCCCTATGGTTTGTATTTGCAATAGGCATCATTTGGGAGTCCCCACAAACGTCACCTCAGCTGTCAGGTTTCAGGCCCCAGAGTCTGAAGCTACTGGGCCATCTCTCAACAACCAGTGCCGAGAACCACTGGAGAATGACAGCCGAGCGAGCGGGGCTCCTCCAGGGCCCAATGCTCCGGCTCGGGGAGTGAGCGAGAAGGGAGAGGCGTTGGCACGGGGTGGGCCAGGGCTGCCGGTGACAGCCGGGAATGCCGGGGGTTCTGAGGTTGGAGCTAGAGGCCAAAGCAAATGAGGTGGGGGTTGTCCTCACAAATAAAGGCTTTAATGCCCCCCCAGGCAACTTCAGCAGAACTCCGGAGCAGAGAGTGAAACTGAGACCTAGAGCCTGGAATAGTCTAGATGCCAAGTTTCGAAGGGCTGGCTCCGGGAATGAATCTGAAGTGCTCGTTGGGGCCGAGGGGTGGGCCACTGTGCCCGTATCAGAGACCCTCGGGTCTGCCAGGGGGCTGCAGAAGGTCCCATCCGGCGTCACAGCTGAACAAAGCGGATGTAAACATTATTGTAGAATTCTTTGTGCCCAGGTCGGCTCTTCCAGTGGCCTGTCCCATGTGTGTTCATATAAACACACAGGACTCACTGAGAAGCAGTGTAAGGTCGAGATGACCGGCAGATTTCATTTTTCAATTTCTTAGTCGCTTTTGTGACATGGGAGGGGCCTGGGGAGGAGGTTAAGGTTTAGATCTTATAAGGCAAAGCCCTATCCAAATATAATTCCTTTGAGTCAGCAGCTGCTACCCAGCAAAGGACTCAAGCAAGGTTAACTGACCAGGAGGCTCAGAGAGGCCCCTTTCAGGGGGACTGCTGACAGCTTACCTCCAGGTGATGTCCTGGCCCGTGGCGGGTGGGGGGAGGGGAGGGAGGTTGCTTACTGGAGAGAGAAGACGGAGACCTACCTGGCACAAAGCCCCACACACCCCCAAGGCTCCAGGAACCCTCGCGGCCACCCCATCATGCATAGGGGACCGAAGACTCCCACGGGCCAATTCTGGGGAGGTCCCTGACTTCAGGATGGGTTCTGGTGAGCCCAGCCAGGGGAGTGCCCAGCCTGTGCCTCCAAGTGAGAACACAGCCAGCCCCAGGTCCGCGAGTAGACCGCTTAGAAGTTAGCTTTGGCCTGCTGACGGGGAGCTGCGAGGAGCAGAATCCACACCCCCTGAAGAAACCCTCTGTTATTACTTCTGGCACCTTCCTGTTTTTCTCTTAGCCCACTGCTCGAAGCGGGTGCTGAGGCCTGCCAGCAGAGTGGGGTGAGGGGAAGACCCTGACTTGTCCCAGCGGTAAAACCTGGACGGCAAATGCGGGTCTAGCGAAACGCAGGGACAGCCTTTTCCAGGCTTGTGGGATTGTTCAAAGGCCAGAGAAGAAGACCCCTACTCATTGTCATTTATTTATTCAGCAAAAAACTGTACGATGGAATTCCTTTCCTCTATATACATATGCACACAGACATTAACGCGGTATGTATATTTCTTATGTACAAAATATTCGTAAGGTAGTGGGGGGGAGAGGGAGAGGGAGAGAGACAGAGACAGAGACAGAGAGAATGGGAGAGTAGGCACGCTACCCACTCTACCCAGATCTGGGCAGAGACAGGGGGCATGGAATGGTAACTTCCGGTCAGCCTTTTCAGCTAACCACTGATTTCAGAAAATGACCTGCCGGTGGTGTTTGGAGGCAGGAAAAGGAGGTGCGGAGAGGCGCCAGGAAAGACCCCAGGCACCGGGCCGGGCCGCTGGCGCCCCTTCCCCACCGCGGAGCCAACTGCCAGTTTCCCCAGCAGCCGGCAGGGGGCAGTGCACCTTGCCTTTTCCGGACCTCCGGGGCGCTCTCCCGCAGCTCCGGGAGAAAAAAAACCGCGACGCGCAGCCAGCAGCTTCTAGGAAAGGCCCAGCCTTTGAGCTCGGCACGTAGTAGGTGTTCAAGGCACGTCTAGAAGCCGAAATGGGCTTTACTAGGTAGATTTATGTGCATTCGATAGCTAAAATAGGGCGGAGAAGAGAAGGGGCGTGCAGGCCCCTGCCAGAACCTTCCATCTTAGAGGCCCTTTCCAACAGCGTGTGTACCCACTACGCGCCAGTGCGGTGGTGACGGCTGAACAACCACGATCCCCGCTTATCTCGTTTTCTCTGCGGTACGGTGCCGGCCTCCCTACCGCCCGCACACACGCACACAGCCGCAGAGCGAGAGTGGGCGCTAGCTGTCTCCCTGGGGAACCATCTCCGCACAAATCCGCGGGGCGTGGGGACCCGCGAGGGGGATGAGCCAGAAGCGGCACGGGATCCCCGGAGGCGGCCACGTGTAAGGCAGTGGATGCCTGATGCGGCGACCTGGTGAAGAGGCCACTGCCCTCAGGGTCAAGGCTGTCTCCCTTTTGCGCGAGACGCAGTGACTCAGCCCCATCCACTCGCACACTTCTGGGCGCGCACGTGTCGGCTCGTGGAGCGCCCCAAGCTCGGCGTGTGGTAGGCGCTGTCGGGGAACCTTGGGTGGGAGGGAGGAGAGGCTCAGGGTTTCAGACAAGGAACAGAGCCCAGACGTTCTGGAGACCCTGCCGCAGGGTTAGGCGAAGGCGTCCTGGGGTGTACCTGTACCAAGCCGGGGCGTAGCCTCAACCCCCACCTCAAGTTCAGTAGCGCTTCCTCCCTCAAGGTCACGCCCCAACACCCTAACGCTTAGTGAAAGGAGCCGAAAGTTGCGCCACTGCCCCAGTTCTGAACAGAGCTGTAGCCCGGAGCCCGGCGCTCTGCCCCACTGCCACCGACGCCCGCCCCCTTGCGCTCTCCGAGGCAGCGGCTCCTGCCCGGAGCAGGTCACATACGCGGGAGACGCAGACAAGTCGCCAACTTTTGTCCGATTATTTCGCGGCAGCGGCAGAGCCTAATGGGGTTGGGGCGGACTCAAGAGTTTCGAGTTGCGCCAGCGCCACCCTCGCCACGCTTCGCTTCGCCCAGCCCAGTCCCCCACTGTCCACCACGCCACGTCCAGCTGCCCTGTCCCGGGGGCCAACTTCTCCACCATATCCGGAAAACGCGGGCCGCCGGCGTTGTCGGGCGCGGTGGTCACCTCCTGGGTCTGCGCCTGCTCGCAGCGGATTTGAACGCTGGAGCCGGATAACGTCCCGCGGCCCCTGGACCAGATCGCCGGCGGCCTCCGCGACCCCGGCTCGGCTCCAACGCGCCCGAGCCCCGCCGCTGGTGGGGTCACCTCCCACCCGTGGGGTCCCGCCGGCAGCTCCGCCCTCCGGCGGCCCCGACACGGGAGATTCCAGCCCGCTCTGGGTGCAATGTCACTGGGGCCGCCCCAGAGACCGCTGCCCGGAACCCGTCGTGGGCTCCCCCACTGAGCTCCTGGCAGCGCTTCCAGTAACGGCTGAAGACTTCTGAACCCACGGCTCCTCCCGACCTCCCTCCTCTCCCAAACGCCCCGGCGGCCCGGGGCCGGGGAGGGGGTCGCCCTACGCTGGCCTTCCTCGCAGCGCCTAGGGTCTTCGGTCCCACGTCCACTGTCACACCCTCCGGGGCGCGTCCCCACCACCTCTGTTCCGGGGTGGAGGCTATGCCCCCCTCCACTCGGAGAACACCCACGAAACTGCCGAGCCCCAACTCCGCGGACGCAGCCCCCGCGCGCCCCGGCGGCGGTCGGCTCCGCGCGCTCACTCACCGCGGCCGGGGACACGCCGGAGTTTCTGGAGATCTGGGGGTGAGCGGGTTGGGAGAGCGTCCCGAACACTCGCCCCCTCCCAGCTCACATCGCCCCGTCCTGCTCTCTCCTCCTCTTCCTCCTCCCTCCGGTCTTTGTCTTTGCAAAGTGTCGAAACTGTCTGGCATAGTGGAGCTCCGCCGGCGGAGGCTGGAGCCGGGGAAGCGGGGAGGCGGGGTGAGGCTGGGAGCGGTCTCTGGAACACCTTCCCCGGGGTGTAACGGGAGGGGCTGGCGGCCGGGGCTGGGGCGCGGAGCCCGGGCCGG